GGACAATGGTTACAGAAATATGAAGAGCCTGCTTTGCTGCCAAGTACAGAAAACTTTTCCAACATGATCCTCTCCAAGGCCCTTCATGTATTCCTTCAACAAACATTTCCAAAGCCCCTGAAGCATACCAGATGCTATGCTAGGCACTGGATTCAATTCAGAACACAGCATTACAAGGTTTCCTCCCTTCTGGGACTTACATTTTCATCGTCGCTGTTAATAATCAGACAAGACTCTCTGTACTCCTGATTTGACAATCTGAGATCTCGGGATTTTGTTTATGAGTAAGATTGTCTCCATGAAAGAAAACCTCTGACCATAAAGCCTGCCAGTACTGTCTAGATAAGTTTGCCTAAGAACTACCACTCTAACAAAGTTTTGTTGTTGTCAGGGCTGTCGAGTCGCTTCCAAGGGTTTCTGAGGGGTGGTGACAGTACCACACCAGAACTCCATAGCAGATGTTCATGGGAGTAACACTCACCATGCTGGGACAGACGGTGGAGCGCGTGACTACCAGCTCGGACTACTAGCTGAAAAGGAGGCAGTTTGAATTCACTCAGAGGTGTCTCGGAAGACAGACTTGGAGATTTGCGTCTGAAAGATCCAACCCATCTACTACCGTTGAGTTGATTCCAACTCATGGTGCCTTTATAGGGTACAGCAGAACTGCCCCATGGTGTTTTCAAGGCTGTAAATCTTTATGAAAGCAACTGCCATCTCTTTCTGCTGCAGAGTTCAAACTTCTGACCTTTCAGCTAGCAGTCAACTGCTAGACTCCTGGGCAGGTCTAGTCTGCACACATGGGATCTCCTGAGTGAAAATCAACTCAATGGTAATTAACAACAGCCACCAAGGAAAATGGCCTAACAGGATCACAACAGAAGCAGTTAGAGAAGAAACATCCCAGGAAAATTGTGGATTTGGAGGTTAACAAGCTGCATTTGTCATGTGGTTCTGGGACATTACTTCTCAACACAGTCACTAGATATGTTTTAGGGGGTTGTCTGCTAGGGAACATGTGAGCATTTTGTGGTTGTCTGCATGACAGCTAAATTATGTCAGGATTCAGACTCTGAGTGTACAAGAAAGGGGAGTGTCTCACCACAAGGGGTAGAAGGAACTCAAGAAGTCTGTCCTATCTGCCAAACCTATGAGGAAACACAGTACTCTCCATTTCTGCACAGGGAGGGGCGGCAGCCTTATTTATACCACAAGAAACTAGCAGGACCCCACTGTGGAAACCAAACAAATCTGTAATAATCAGACTTCACAAAATGAAGTGCAAACGCTTTTCTAGAAGTTAGCATTGATGTGCCTGGGGTAGTGAGTTGAGAGAGGGAGGATGTTAAATGAATTAACTTGGATATAATTTAAAACACTGGTTTTTATTATAACACAAGTACAACTATGTTACAAAGTAGAATGTGAAAAAAAAAAAATCACATAAAAGTTTTAAAATACACCCCCGGATTAGGGGCACTACTGTCTTCAGGGCATCCTCCAGCCTCAACCCCACATCCTAGGGTGTGTTGTTTGCAATTTTTTTAGCTAGCGGAACTACAAGGGAACGTTTGAGAAGTACCAGAATGGTGGAAAGAATACAGAAGCTACCACTAGACGATGTGGGTTCAAGTTAGAGGGCTCTATGCTTATCCTGAGCAAGTCACTTAACTCATCTTGAGCTTCCTCCTCTGGTAACTGGGAATGTGCCTTACAAATCCACCTCAGACTTGACAAGGAACTCAAAAGAAATGCTATTTAGGGGAAGTACCTATAAATACTCATTAGGATTATTAGTGACATGATCTACAGAAACCAGCTGCTTAGCCTGGGGACTGAAGTTACCATGCTTAGTTCTGAATGTATACTCAAAGTTGGAGTGGTGGCCAGACAGAAAAAGTAACGGTCCAGTGACTAACTGGCTAAGGACAAACCCACTGCCCTAGCATCTGGGAAATGAATTCTCAGCAGGAGAAGCTGAAGGGGAGGTGAACCCGCCAAAATGATATGAGAAGAAAACCAGAGACGGCAAACCATCCCAGTCAGTCCTGCCACTTTTCCAGCCACGGCTGATTGAAGATGGAAAATGAGAGCGAGCCAACTAGGGGAGGGAGACGGCAGGCAAATCTAGCCTCATGTGCCTCCCTGCCTGTGGCTTACTGTTGAAACGCCTGTGTCTGTGCTGGAGGAATCGCTGTGGGAATCTGGGGAGGCTCCCTCTAGGGTGTTTCAGGTCCATCTCCTACTTTAGGCACCTGCAATTCACTATGCCTTTTCCAAACACATTCGAGACCTGAAAACAACATGCAGAACAAATGACATCATTCTTCTGAGTGACAACCAGGGGCATACTGGTCCCATGACCCCATTAAACAGGGTTGCAACCTGCTATTGTCCTTTCAGTGACAAAATTGGTGTCACCTAGCACACAACACTGCTTACACGTAGCAGGCATGAAACAAAAAACTGTTGAATTAAGTGTCTTATCTGCCTATGTAATAGGTTAGAAAATTGTCAGCTTTGTCATCAAAACTACCACCTTTTTTTTTTCATTCATTCAAAGCTCTCTTGAAATGCAATTCCATTAAGTCTTTTTAATGCATATCAGCAACAAGGAATTTACTTAAATGGGGGGGTTAAAAAAAATCAAAACTTCAAGCCCCCACCTGTGCAGTCATGGCATGCTATTGTTTGAGCCAGAGTATATTATTTAACTTGGATGACAACCTCAGGGGGTAGCCACCCTGTCTTTCAGAATAAGCAGCTCTGAGCATGCCGGGAGTGCTCAATAAATAACAGCAGAAAGAAAAATAGGGGGCAGGGGCATTTAAATTATTTATTTTTCTACTTCCAGATTTCTGGCAGCATGCGTTTATCCCTTGCTTGATTTCCAAGGGGCAGCTCTCTCCCAGAGGCACCCATGAAGATGAATAAATAATTCTGTGACTTGCCCTTCTCCTCTCCATACCCATCCAAGTAGGAATACCTTGTGATCTAGCCATGAAGTAGATTTGAAAGGGAACTAAGTCCTCCAACTAAGGCAGTCAGGAGAAATGTTTTGGTTCCATAAATCTCCTCAGCTGTCAGATGGCAAAGCTTGGACTTCCAAGTTATCACCTGTTATGGGGCTTTGAGTTGCTTTGTAATTAGCCCCAGAGACCAAGTTGTGCCTAAATCTTGACACACAATTTAGTCTTTCAACAAAGTAGACGGTTGTGAATTTGCCAAACTTAAATCATTAGATTATAAAGATCCAAAACAGATAGTAAATGTTAAATTATATAAGTGCAACAAGACTAAGCCATTTAGTGGTCAATATGTGTTAGCACTGGACTGCTAAATGCAAGGTCATCAGTTCAAACCTTCTGATCTTGGGAAACCCTATACAGGGTCATTATGAGTCAGAATCAATTCAAGAGCCTTCAACAACAATGTGTTACTTGTATATTTAAAAAAAAAAATTATGCCAATAACTAAATGAAGGACTCCTAGGGTGGTATTGTAGGATCCACATTGAACTGCTAATCACAAGGTTGGCAGTTCAAATCCACCAGTGACTCCTCGGACACCCTATGCAGGGTCACTATGGGTTGGAATTTAACAATAACAACTAATTAAAGGTGTTAATAAATAGGCAAGGAGAAAGAAGCCAGTGACCATTCTAAGCAGAAAGACCTCCCAGTTTTTGTTTTTCTCTCTGGTAAATAGGGCTAATACATTTGCTAAAATGTGCTTTGTAGAGAATTAGGTGGATGGGTGGGGAGTCTTTCTGTGCACATTTTAATATACCTGGCAACCAAACCTCCCCTGTGTGATTACACAACACATGTATCAACACAACATACTTTCCAAGTGGAGACTTCTCTCCTTCCTCTCAGATTCGTTTTCTAACAAAACAATGGTAACACCTGTAGCCGTTAATTTCTGCTCTTTGATTTCTGTCCAGTTATAAAGGAGGCTCTCAGCAGGCGCCCCTCTCAGGAGCCATATGTGGAGTTGATGTGCCAGCAGCCTTGGAAAGGAAACAGCCTCCTGAGAAGTGCACAATGCCTCCATAATCCCCATCAACTGGACCCTCTTGAACCAACGCTTTATTTTCTGGTCAAAGAAATGCCAATCTCAAGATTCAAGCTGTGGCTGCCCTGAGAGCTCAGGAGAAGCCAATGTGCTCTGCCTGATTCAGGCACAACACAAGGGTGGTGCCTCTGAGCCCCGCCATCTAGTCTACCAAGCTGCAGCTCAGGAACTACCAACAGCATCCCCAACTCTTTGCCTTGCTCTTTCCTCCAGGTTGAGGCTTGCACCCACAAAGCCACCCTCCACCTCCCCAGCCTTTCTCTCCAGCTGGGGACCACAGCACACCCTCAGCAGAGCTACAGCCCCGCCCCCTTGCACTGTTTCCCGTTGGGGGTTCTGTTTCACCAAGGATGAGTCTCATTGCAGGCTGGCATTTACCCATGTTGGACAGGGAACCAACTCTTAAGACCACATCACCCGTGTTACAGAGGGGCACAAAGGGTGACGTGTGGCAGAAAGTCCTTTAGGTTCAAAGGCCCCGGCCCGGCGCAGTGTTTGTTAACAGATGACCAAAAGGGTCAAGCCTACCAACCTGCTAAGACTACACAGAAGGGACAGGCGGATGAGGTACCGGAAAGCGGATAGGGAAAGGGGTTGCGTGCGGACGCGCAGCGGCAAACAAGCGTTCACATTTGTTTTGGACCGAGGCACTAGGAGGCACTCACTAGAGTTTTGAACCCAACTCCTACCCTCCCTCCGCCTTTTACGTTTTTCACACTGGGGACCTCAGGACGTGCTTTATAGTGCCCAGAGGTTTCTGATGCGTCTGTAAGGAACCCAACAGCCTTCCGGCGGCAGACAGCCAAGGCAGTGTGGCCCCGGGACCTAGTAAATGTCAAGACCCGTTTCCCTCCCTTTCTGCCTCCGCAGCCGCGGCTCTCCAACCAGCGCGCTCCCCACAGGTTCCTGGAGGCAGTACTTACGCAGTTGTGCTCGGTCTGGAAATCCCAGCTGCAGCTCTTGGCGCGCGCCTGGATCTCACTCATCCTGAAGAGGCAGAGCGCCGTGGTGGCAGGGGAGCGACTCTCCTGGCCCTCCCCGGTAGCCGCGCTGAACACGCCCGCCCAAACGTCAAGGGCCTCCACCAAGCTGGAGGAGAGGAGTAGGCGGCGGCCGTCGGGGTGCTGGTGGCCGCAATCGAGGGCTGCCTGGCCCTGGAATAGCAGCACCTCCGCGCTCTGTGCGATGCGCGCCATGCTGGGCCAGCCGGTGGCGGCACCACTGCTGTAGTTGTAGGGGTAGTATGGAAAGTAGACGCTGCTGTTCCAGAGAAAGGCGTCCACGAAGTGCAGGCTGCCCGCGCTCTCGCTCAGCTTGAGGCGACCCGTCTCCATTGTGGCCAGGCTGCGCCCCTCCGTGTCCTTGAGCGCGATGGCCGTGTCTCGGTCAGACGCTGCCGGATTGCAGCGGCTAGCCTTCTCCGGCTCGGGCAGCACGTAGGTGGCAGCCACCGCCAGATACCAGCGGTTGTTGTGGCTGGCGTGGTATACCACGCCGGCCGTCGAGCCCTGCGGGTGGCAGGACACCACTTCGGTGCCATTGCGCAGGGACTGGCGGCTCAGGTTCAGGGGCCGCACCTCACAGGCGCCCCGGTCGAAGGTCCAGCCGGTGAGCAGCAGCCCCTCGAGGCCGACTGCCCCCTCGCGGTAGGGCAGCAACAGCTTACTGAAGCTGCTACCCGGCCGGGGCCGCGCGGGGGGCGCCAGCGAGACCGGCTCCGTGCAGTTGCCGGGTTGGTCCCGGTACAGGCGCGAGAACCGGTGCTGCAGGTTGTAGTCCAGCTGGTCCAGGCAGCTGCCGCTCGCCACGAACACGCCGTGCGCCTGGCTCGCCGCGATGGCTCCGATGGCTTGCTCTGACCGCCACACGGGCTCGTCCGCGCCCCGGCCCGGCGCTGCCAAAGCCAGAAGATAGGCGAGCAGGGGCAGCGGCGCGGCGGGGCGTGGGGGGCGCGGGGGCGCCTTTCTCCGAGAGACCTCCATGGGGCTGGAGGGGCCGCCCCGGGGCAGGGCGCGCAGCGACAGCGACTCAGGCGCGCGGCGACGGAGACGCGGGCGGCGGCGGCGGCGGCTCCTGCGCGCTCTCGGGCTCCCGCGGCCGCCGCATCCTCGCTTCTCGCCGGGGAAAGAGAGTGGGGAGGGCGGCGCGCGGCGGGCTCGCTCCGGCAGCCTGTGCAGCGGCGGCGGCTGTGGCAAGCCCTGCGCGCTGCAGCGCCGCTTCTTCCTCGCCGGAGAGTTCCTGTGTGCAGCGCTGGCGCTAGCGGGGAGGCGCGGAAGGGAAGGGAGGGGACGGGCGGAGAGGAGCGAGGCGGGCGGGGAGGGCTGGAGAGGTTGGGTGCCCTTGTGCGTTTCACTTTCCCATTGTGAAAGTGGGATGCAACTGGCCCCCTTTCTCATCTTCTTCCTCCTCCGCCCTCCGCCTCCTGGCCGCCCGCCCTCCCTCCCTCCACGCCCATCTCCCCTCCTCTCTTGATTCGGTGAGATAGGGAGGAGGGAGGTCTCGTAATTTGGGTTACTGTGTAGGTGGCCTCTTTCATCTATTCATAACAAAGCTGAGCCGCCTGCCGCTGCTGCCACCGCGGCTGCCACCATCACCCTTTGGCTCGCCTGGGGGCTCCCGGGGCGCACTAACGGCGCTCCGAGCGGTCTCCCGCGCTCATCTGCCCGCCAGGCTGCTCCAATGCCCGGGTTTTGTTTACAAGAGCAGCGGAGAAACACGGAGGCTCTGGGAGCAACAACCCTGGGCGCTAAAGGGTTGGAGAAGAGGGCTGGGACTCTGGCCGTTGGGAGACTGCGAGGGTGGCTGACAGGTGTGGAGCAGCGGGAGGGAGGCCTGAGGGCCGAGGTTCAGGGGACCCAGGCGCCCGTGTGGCAGAGAGTGGGTTTCCCTGGGTCGGAGGAGTGCCATGAGAGAAAGGCAGGCGCCAAGCCTCGCGTTCTGGGCAATTCCTGGGGCTGGAGCTTTCGTATTTGAAAAGGTTCTCTCATCTCCCTTGACAACGGAGTCTCAGGCTCTCAAACACAGCATACAGAAAGTTCTACTCGTCATCTAGCTTGAATGATCACGGCTAACATTTATTGAGCACTTATTGCGTCCCGGGCGCTTTTTCTAAATTCACAGCATGGATAAAACCTCATTTAATCCTCATAACAATCCTGTTAATTAGTGACGTATTATTATGCCCATTTAGTAGTCTTGGAAAATGACCATCAAGAGGTTGTGTGTGGAGCCACCGGGAGGTAATGCTGGAATCTTACAGCTAGTGAACAGCAAAGACGAATTTGAATTCTTACCAGGGTCACTCTAAATGCTGCTTTAGCCAAGTGCCACCTGTAACCATTACAATAATCCCCATAGGTCATTCTCCATGGCTGGATTGAACATGCCCAAGTTAGATGCTCCCGTATGCCTCACACTACCCAGCCCAATCTTCTCATCGTACAGCCAGATAACTTGATTTCACTTAAGGCTCCTTTTCTTTTAGAACCCCTGCGTGTATCAGTTGGGTTGCCCCCAGGTCCCCAAGAATTTCCAACATACAGGGAATTATTTATTATACACCCAAAAGTCGAATTCTGATTTCTCAAATGCCTCCTAACTTTATGAAGCAACTGGTAGGACCCTCCTAGTGCTGCCTGGCACCTCTGCCTTCCAAGGACTGCTGTGCATCCTTGGGGAATAATCCCTGTCCTTTTCCAGGCTCCCCTGAACCCCCAGAAATTGGTTGCTGCTCCTTCTTCCTTCTCCTGTTCTCCAGCTGAGAGAAGTGAGTGGGCTTGCCTATTGAGTTCCACTGGCAAAGCAACTGTTCCAGCTTGTAAACGTCTACAACAGTGATTGACGTTCTCCTCAATACTGAAGGATAAGGTTCCCTGGACAGCTTAAGGAAAAAGAAGGGTGAGATGAGGCTGAGACGAGATGCCTGCTGTCCTAGCAGTACAGTTAAAGGATCTGAGCTCAAAGTGTCATCTTTTCACACATAAACTCCTCTTTAGAAACTGGGTAGCAAGATCTTTGCCTGTCGGTAGGTAGCAAATGCTTTCCCAGGAGCTATAAGGCTGCTGTTTCTGTTCTAAGCCCTGGTGTGGCACTGTAGGATAAGCACTGGACTGGTAACCTTAAGGTCAATAGTTCAAACCCACCAGCCATTCTCTGAAACCCTTTACCGTAGGGGTGAGGAATGTTGGGCCCATGGGCCATATAAGGCCTGTGAAATTGCTTGGTTTAGCGCTGCCAAGGCAACCGCAGTTCTAGCTATCACACCGTTGTTGTTGTTACGTGCCATGGAGTTGGTTCTGACTCATAGCGACCCTGTACAGGGTTTCCGAGGCTGTAAATCTTTACGGGAGCAGAACGCCTCATCTTTCTCTCGCGGAACAGCTGGTAGTTTCAAACCACTGACCCTGAGGTTCGCAGCCCAATTCATAACCACTACGCTACCAGAGCTATCACATTAGGAGTGAGTTAATTAAATGTGTGACCAAATATAGCAGGCTATTTTTTAAGTTGATCATTTAAATTGTAGGTGTGGCCCACAAATGATGTTACAAAGATACAAATGGTTCTTGGCAGACAAAAGGTTCCCCAGTCCTGGTGTGGCACTGTAGGATAATGTACTGAACTGCAAGGTCAGTTTGAACCACAAGGTCAGCGGTTCAAAGTCACTAACCACTCCTCAGAAACTCTCTACAGGGCTGCTATGAGTTGGCACCTACCTGATGACACTTAACAACAGCAACAACCTTTATTTTACAGGAACTGAAGCTATGGCACACAACAACAATAACTTTCTGTTGTGGTGCTGGTAGTTAGGTTATCAGTGAGAAGAGTGGAGGGAGAAGGGGGAAGGCCTGAGGTGCTGCTGTACTGACATTAATCAGGAGATCTTAGGTAAAGCAAATAAAAATGCCTTATATGCGTTAAAATAATCAGGCCTCACTCCCCCAATCCCCATCTGCCTGGAATATTTTAAGAATCTTTACACTGCTGGAAACGGAAAAAGTACTATCTAAAAAATATCTACCAAAGCTCATAGAATCTTTTACAGCATAGTAGGGGATTTATGAGTGGGTATTTTGAACGATTTTCCCTTTGAATGATGAAGAACACAATAGAAGCCGCCCCACTGCCATGTGTCAGCTGTAGTAATGTTGTTCTGTGCTGAGACGCAATGGTTCAATCCCATTGCAGAGATAGTTTTACTTCACTGGTAACCAAGTAATTTCTCTAAGACCTGTAGAGTTGGTACAATCAGTAGCAGACCATCTTGGAAGCTATTTGGATTAAACATACTCTATGGTGAGGCATTTTGATCAGTACACACTTCACTGCTGCCTCGTTTTGAAAAGGAAACGTCATCTTAAAAATGCTACCAGCAAGAAACATAAATGACTTTGAAGACTACATTTCCTTGCCATTCTTTTGGAACTGTAAGCCCTCTCTTGCAATTCTTACAGAAGAGCAGAGCAGGCTTCTTGTGTTTTTCCTCTCCCATTTAATTGTATATAGACTCCTACTGGGGAAAAAAGAAAAGTCAGAGTCTGTGCCTACTTTTTGGCCAAAAATCAGAATGGACGAGACTAAAAGGCTTTTAAATATCCTTTGCCCATTTCTGCCCCATTTTGTACAAACGCGGTTGCCCCTTTTCAGTTTTATTGTGTACTAAAGCTCCACCTTCAGGACACAAGTTCACATTTGAAAAGTGTGGGAAACAAGAACCACTGAGAAAATATTTAGGCATGTGGGTTCTGTATCTCTTTGATCTTTTTTCTTTCGGACACTGCTGTCTGGCCCAATGCTATGAGCCCCACTGGTGACAAAAACCCCCCTCCCCAACTGTCCAAGCCCGTCTTGTTAGGTGTCACTTACAGCACATTCTGGAACTCCTTGTAACACAACTGGCTGATACCCCAAAAAAGGAAGATGGTGCAGATTTATCCTCCAGACAGAGGCCTGCTACCACGGAAACAAGCAGTTCAGTGTGACTCTGAGTAGTGTTATTTGCAATAGTCGCTAGATGAGAAAGTCTTCATAATGAGAAAATATCAACTCCCTCAGGCACTGAAGGCAATCTGGGTTAACCAGCCCATCCACAATCAGACTCATGCTAACTGGACAGAACTTTATAGATTAGTGGTTTCCTGCTGAGGCTCAGGGCTTTAAGAAGTGCCCAGTATGCAATTGGTCACTGTCACAAGATGGCTATCATTGGTGCTTTTGTTTCCTTTCCTTTAAAAACAAAAATAAAACAACGCACGCACATCAGTCAGAGGACTATAGAAATGACTAGACTGAAAGTGATAGAAAGAATCAAGACTATTAACTCTGATAGTCAACTCAAGCCCTCTACTTACCCAAGTAGCTACAACTGTTCCCTGTACAGTATTTGGACAACAATCACCCATGGGCTCAAATATTATCTTGCTAGGACTTAAAAGAGGCCACTTCCTTCTCCACAGTTTTGCTCAAATCTATGTGGTCTCCCACATCGAAGGCCTAATCAAAGCTCTTGGTGACGGACAAGACAAGAGAGATGAGACAGCCTCCCTTCTGGTCAGCTGTTGAGTAGATGGTTCACAATAGGTCTGATGAAGAGCCATTTAATAAATTTGAATTGATACTGAGAGACAAGTTGAATACAGTTCAATCAACATGAAAAGTTGGTCAAATGGAACCCAGGTAAGAGGTGACTGAGGAATGCAGTACCTTGTTCTCTCTGCCCACCAACATGTACCTAGGCAACAGTTGAACAGTCTTACATTTAGTTCAAGTGATGACAGTTTAGTGATGGTGCTTCAGAAAGTAGAACTTGGGTTCACTCATAACATTCTAGTTATTGCCCATTGCCATATCATGGCTTAACAGCTTCATGAGCTCAGTTGTAACTGTAGGTGGCAGTGTAGAGTGGGATGTACAGGAAACAATGATTTCACTCAAGTATCATAGAAATGCCACCAGTGGGTGGTTTGTTAGGTGCTGTTGA